TGGTCCAACTTTCACAGCCATACATTGCAACTGGGAAAACCATGGCCTGGACTATACGCACTTTTGTTGGCAGGTGATGTCTCTGCTTTTTAGTATGCTGTCTAGATTTGCCATAGCTTTCCTCCCCAGGAGCAAGCGTCTTTTAATTTCTTGGCTGCAGTCCCCATCTGAGGTGATCTTGGAGCCCAGAAAAATAAAATCTGTCACTACCTCCATTTCTTCCCCATCTATTTGCCAGGAATTGAGAGGGCCGGATGCCATGATTTTGGTTTTCTTAATGTTGAGTTTCAAGCCAACTTTTGCACTCTCCTTCTTCACCCGCATCAAGAGGCTCTTTAGTTCCTCTTCACTTTCTGCCATCAGAGTGGTATCATCTGCATATCTTAGGTTGTTGATATTTCTCCCAGCAATCTTAATTCCAACTTTTGATTCATCTTAGATATTAGAAGCATGCTATCATACCATCTCTAGTCCTTCTTTTCATTAAATTAGGCATTCCAGCCAAAATAAAATCAATATTATGCCCTATTTATTTTAATGGGAGGATAAAGGAGATAATGTATTCTCCCACTGAAAGTAGTAAAATGAAAGCAGTTAAATTTGGGGCATTGTTCCTAACCAGACTTTATTTCTCATGGATTAATACAAATTTATTCACTCTACTCATCAGGGTAAGTTTCCTTCTTACAGTAAAGACTCTTGTCAGACCTCAAGCATAATGCAAGCCTGCTATTTGCAAGCAGAGATAGTAAACAATTTTGTTTCATCACTGGCAGAAAATGCCACAATAGCTAATCTTTGCTGCTGCTAATTCTCACCAACCCAGTGAACTCCAGCTATCTACAATCCTAAACTTCTTTTAACTATTCAAGCTGTAGGGGGTAGAATTTTGCCTTTGTAAAGTTACCCAGCAAGTTAACAAATGCCACATATTTTTGCTGGACATTGCTAGCAGCACGACAAGACAATATTCCAACTCCTGGAAGCAAATCCTTCTGGTTTCAAGAAGTTCAGGAGTGAGTTCTTAGGGCCATTTTGTGTTTTTCTCTTTGGATACAGTAATTTGATTCTGCAGTTCCTCAGATTTGCAAAACAGATCTCAGACCTCTTTAGAACAGAAGAATACTTGGAAATTTTTAACTCAGGGGTCCCCAACTGTAGACCGGCACCGGGCCGTGGCATGCCAGCAACCGGGCCATAGAAACAAGTGAAGCCCCATCTGCTGGATGTAAGTAGCACACGAAACCACACTCCCTCTGGTCGTGGAAAAATCTTTCTCCACAGAACCTGTCCCTGGTGCTCGAAAGGTTGGGGGCCTCTGCTTTAACTAGCCAGGAGCATGGACTCTTCTGACTAGCCAGATTAGGAGAATTAAGTGCACTTTTTTTTGCCCCTTCTTGCCTTTTACTTATCAATTGCTGCCTAAGACTGACACTCTGGCTCAAGATAAGGAGCAAGGCTGCCCTATTTCCAGCTCACTTTTTTTGCCCTTACTATTGATAACAGGAATTATTTTCAGAGATTAGAAACAGCATTTCAGGACAAGTAGCTTGAACCTGCTCATAACCGCTACAGTTATTTAATTTTTTTTATATATTTGTTAAAAGATTAAAAAGGGATGAAATTATTAATGTTAACAAAAAACAACTGCATATCACTGAAAGAGGAAAACAATATAACTAATAAAATTGTACAATATGTATCCAGTAAACGTGTATAATCATATTTCACTGGGTGTTAGAAAGGTTTGACATACTTTTTCTTTTCATGCAACATGCATGGTTAAATTTTGTTATTCCTACACAGGCCTCCATGGAACAGGGAGAGACTGTGTATTACATAGTTAATGTCTAGCTGAAAAGAGCATTTCAACACAGACTTCTCTGGTTATAATAAAATTCTGTCAGCAATAACAGAGTTAATAGTACAATTCCCCATTGTTCAGCTGAATCAATAAACTACATACAGTAACAAGATAGAAAATGTTCCGACTTCAGAAGCAAAGGCTTATGCCTGCAGGGGACATACACTGGAGAAAGGAACATTATTTACAATAAAAATTTTGTTTGAGCTCAGAGACCAAGACCTTAATCACAAATGTGAATCTACAAGGATTTACTTTAGTCTGCTAAGTGCTAGCTCAAGCCTACCATCAAATATGGCATATTTTCCGAAAGTCAGTACTTGCTATCTTTTCACTTTCAGAAAATAAAGCAGTTTTGCTTGACATTATAACATGACACCAAAAGAATGCAGGAGATTTTGATATTTGTATAGGTCAGTTGCTCCCCTTGCACAGAAGCAGGAGTAATCTTAAACAAATATTATTTCATAAAATACCAAAGGCTATTCATGTCATATTCAAAGCAACTGGTGCTCGCCATAAGTGACAATGGAATATAAAAATGGATTAGGCAAGGCAAGGATAAATTGGAGGTTATACCATTTTCCCCCTAATCTTTGTACCTTCCAGAAATTTTTGACCAGGGACTCCATCATCCACACAGAGCAGAATCACAAGGTACTGTGAGATGAGTAAATTATATAAAGAGGATACCATGAAGGAGAATATAAAATAACATTTATTTTTAAATGACTGTCAATATTGTTTCAGTGAAATAAAAATATTTTTCATGATATTTTATCTGACATTCTGCTCCCTTGTATCTTAGAATTCAATATGACTTCCCCCACTTCTTGGCCATATACACTTCATTTTTATATACAACAATTTCTATGGCTGCAAGTACATGGAACAGCCACCTGAAAAATATTATGACCAGACATGTAACCATCTTTCATGTTGTTCACAGAAAATATTTATTAGAGAATGAATAGGACAAATCCTGTGGGAATAAAATAGTAATATATTGACTTTAATGTAAAGAATCACAAAGACTGGTTTCTGAAAGGAAGATTTTACATCTCTGTCATGTCAGTCAGTCTGATCTCCATTTTTGACATGAGGTGTCCATATATAAAGCTGTGTTTCTCAACCTTGGCAACTTTAAGGTAAACTTTGACACCCAGAATTTCCCAGTCAGCCATCCTGGCTGGGGAATTCTGAGAGTTCAAGTCCACAGATCTTAAAATTGCTAAAGCTGAGAGACACTAGTGTAGAGTATTGACCTTCCATAAGAGCCTGAAGATCAGGCTCTGCCAGTTGGTCTGAGGCCCCAAGAGGGGGGGAGTACCAAGTTGGAGGTGGTTGATGGACTAATAGATCCCACCTTGCCCCCTGGGCATCTTGCTTGCTGTCCTCCCATTTTTAATCATAATTTTGTAGTCCTATGGTTATGATTGCATTCCTTTTAATATTGCAAGCTTGCCAGAGTTGCCTTATGGTGAGATGGGCAGCAAATAAATTTAATAATACAGTATATATTGTAGGCTCAGCAAAATATAATCTTCAAAAATAATTCTACAGAAAACAGTAGAATGACTGAATTCACAGAACTGCAGTCAAATCCAAATGCCAGTAGTAAATGCCAGTCATCAATGGTAGCACTCTAAAACAACATCAATGTACAGTTTTGAAATTCTCTGACATGTAAAGTTGAACACTTTGTTTTAATATTTCAAACAAGTGTATTTTATTTGATGGTTGTTTTTAAAATCATTTTGATACATTGCTTTGGTTAAGGAAATATTTATTCTAGTTCAGAAATGAATTAGTATAGAAGAAAAAGAATCAGTGCCATTTACAATAAAAAAATTTCTCTTTCCAATAGTTGACTTACATACATTTCTTTTCTTTTTTTGGTGGGGTGGTTATAAACGCTTGTTTATTAAATTTATTGAGATTTTTTTTAGAAAGGAAGTTTAGGGTTATTGAAAATAATGATAAGCATTCTTAAATTTATGAACTTCTCAATCAAGACAAATTAAAAATGTCTATGGCAGCTTTTCTCAACCTAATGTCCTTCAATTTTGTCATAATTGTGTCAGTTGTAGTACAAGCTATCTGAGCTGCACAGGCTGAGAAAGGTTGTCTTACAGGCTGATCACAGAACAATTAAAACTTGCTGAATTCTCCCTAAGCAACAAAGTAATATGATAAAATTTCAACAGTATATATACACATTTTGACACAGTTAGCAGAATATCTCTTTTTAACCACTTTCCCTTACATTTCTACAATATGATAGTTTCTCACACAGATAAGTGTGTGTATATAAGTTCCATTCCATTCTTATTTTGCTGCTCAATCCAAAGTCCTCTGGAAGGCAAAATGTGATAAGAATTGGAGGCATGACTGGTCCAATCTTACATTTCCTTTCTCAGATAACCTTAGATTGGAGAAAGAGGAAGACGATCCTCTTAGCCCTTCCACTCTGACCAAAGATAATGTGTGGAACACTCTTTCATAGTGAAAAAGATGGGATGGGATCTACCACCCCAATATCATCTGACTCTCATTAAGTAAGTTTATGTGTGAGAGAAAAGTAAATGATGCCTATGATGGCATACTGATGTCAAACAATAAGATATTTAAATAATATAATGCATTTATAGCATTCAGTTTGGCATGGTGCAGCTATTTGTGTAGTACTTGCATTAAAATATGTGTACCATACAGTAGAAAGAATGTTGTTCATAAACTATGTAAATCACACAATACCTAATTTATATTTATATTGATGCTCATTATATTTACATGTTTAACTTTTAAAGAAATTTTCCAACTAGATTAACTTTACAAAGTCCTCAATTAAAATATATGAGAATAAGTGTATGAAATTAACGCAGTCATTGCTAAACAAACAAAATAAAAAAACCAAGGCTTCCATTAAGAAAAATCTAAACTAAAAAAACCTAAACCTTGCACTTAAAAGTTTTTGATTGATACTTGGTTTGTAAATACTTAACCAACATTTCCTTACTTAAAACAGGACAATTAAAAAAGACAAAGTTCCCAAATAAGAATATATAAGCATATACTTTAGCTAAATTTAATTTGGGTCATCAATGTTCAAATAGAATAATAAATTGTGTCCTACCTATGGTGGTAATAACAGTCCCCGCAAAGAAGAAGGAACTTCCCAAATCCCAGTGACTGACTTGATTTGGCATATTTCCTTTAGGATTGACTCCTGCATTTATTGCTGCCACAACTTGCTGAAAATTTAAAGACATTTTCTCAGTATTTATGAAATATAAACAAAGATATTAGAACATACTATTCCATATACTTGTGAAAGTAATCTACCTGTGAGATTTAAAAAAAAAAAACAATAGCCCAAAAAAAGGGGGCGGGGAAACATCTTACAGTACATTGAAACTGCTTCAGTTCCAAGAATCTGTGATCTAAGTCTGAAATATAATTAAATGAAATTATTGAACTCGCTGAGAGATAGCAACTGTTCATGGCTAAGGGTAGCCTTGAATTGAATCTCCTGAGTGTTAGTCTTTTACTTTAAGCAATTTAGCACATTGGCTTTTCCATATTCTGTAACTGGTATATCATTTTTTTTTAATTTTTAAAAATTTTATTTGAATTTTCAATACATATAATACTTTCCATACATTATATATAAAACTAAAAAAAAGAAAAAAATACCTTTAAAATAAGACCTTAGGTGTCGCTTGTCTATCTCCCCCGACTGCATCCGCCCTCTCAACCTTCCTTCCTTACTTCCCTACTCCCTCTCTCCTCTCCTCTCCTCTCCTCTCTCCCCTCACCCCTTCCTCCCATCCAACTTCCTTCCTTCCCTCCTCCTCCCCTCTTATCCCTCTTCGGATACAGTTCAGGGGAAACACCCGAGCAGCACCTCCCTCTAAATTACTCCATCTATTTCGTACTTTAATATTTCTATATATACTTAATCCCACCCCACCCCTCCCCACCTCCCCCCCACTTCCCAGAGCAAAATACAGGGTTATTATAAACAAAACAAACACAATAAAACAACAACAACAAAAATTCTATACAATAACCAAATTCATACACTACCCTTAACTCTCTCTAAACTTAAAATAATAATAATAATAATAATAATAATAACAACATAAACAAATCTACTGTAAATCAAATATTATAAAAATCTATAAATAGTAATTATAACCTCAAGAAAAAATTAATCATAAAATAAATGGAACTTTAAAGTTCCTTATTTATTCTGAATATAATCTATCCACCTTCTCCACACTATAATAATTTTTTCTTGTGTTTGGTCCTTTAAATAAGCAGAAATTTTTGCCATTTCTGCTAAAGTAGAAACCTTAAGTGTCCATTCTTCTAAGGCAGTGAATCCTTCTTCCAATATAAACCTACAAGTAATCTTGCTGCAGTTATTAAATTCAACATTAAAATAGTTTCATTAACATCTAAATCCATAAAAATACCCAATAAAAATAGTTGAGGAGTAAACTTTATCTTCTTTTTAAAAATCTTTTGAATGTTCCACCAAATCATTATCCAGAAAGCTTTAACCTTCTTATAGGTCCACCAAACATGAAAGTAAGGTGCATCAGTACTACCACACCTCCAACATTTGGGCTGTAAGTTAGGATACATACAAGCCAATTTGCTTCAGTTCCAAGAATCTGTGAGCTAAGTCTGAAATATAATTAAAGGAAAATTATTGAACTCGCTGAGAGATAGCAACTGTTCATGGCTAAGGGTAGCCTTGAATTGAATCTCCTGAGTGTTAGTCTTTTACTTTAAGCAGTTTAGCACATTGGCTTTTCCATATTCTGTAACTGGTATATCATTTTGAATCAGCAATCATTTTAGGATTAGTAAGCCTTAATCTTATCACAAATCATGAATTAAAAATTAAAATTCTGACATCAACGGTTTCAATCCTGAAATAAGCAATAAAATCAATAAGCACCTGCACACTAAATTTTATTTATGAATTCATGAATAATCATGAATAAGATAACACATCAGCTGTGATATAACTTGTAGAGAAGTTAAGAAACAGAAATTATTGTGGTTTTATGTATCATATAATCACTTCCCCTACTCAAATTATGAATGTTCAGAGAAAAGATTAATAATTCTAACAATCAGCATAGATGCTGAAGGCTTGTATCCCAATAAAAATGTTTTGCCTTATTTTTCGCAAATTCCATTCAATGCAGTTGAAAAGTATTCTAAAAATAACTTTGACCTGCTAACATATATGTTAATATGAGGGGTTGTTTGTGCTCTCTGAGCTTACTTGTTTACTTGCAGATGTTTCATTACCCTAACTAGGTAACATCATCAGTGCTAGTCATACACGTTAATACCTACACATTCTGAATAATACATAATAAAGCACTATGACACTAGCCCCTAATAATTAATATATATATTTGAGGTCTTATTTGGCTATTGTCAGAAACAGTGTTTCTCAACTTTGTTGACTAAGATGTGTGGACTTCAACTCCTAAAATTCACCAGTCAGCATGCTAGGGAATTCTGGGAATTAAAATCCACACATCTTAAAGTTGCTAAGATTGAAAAACACTGTGTTAAAAGAATCCTTAGCATGTTTACTCAAACGTTCCTTAAAAGAATAAGCTTTAATTCTGGGCTAAGGATTTACAATATTGTTCTGGCAGAAGGATGGGATAGAAGAACACTTTTTGCTTTTTACTGTTTTATTATCACATAAGTACTGATGTTTGCTGCTTATGCAAATTTTTACTTTGTCAGCAGATATTTTACAATCTAAAAGTTTTACATATTATTTTAATGAATCAGTATTTCCATCTTAGTAAATGCCCTTTTTTATGTTAAATCCCATAGACCTGGCTTTAGCAGAACAGATTTCAAAGTAAGTGCACACTGAAATACAATCATGTATTTGTGTTCCTTCTAGAAGATGGCAATGATGAACAACTTTTATACTGTTGCAAATAAAATCTGTGAATATATCCCTGTAATTACCTGACATCAGGCTCAATCTGAGTCTTAACGATTTTTCATCCTAAAAGACTGGGATCATACCCTGGGAAAGAAGCCACTGTTTGGCTACAAGATCTACTAACATCAGTTAAAATGATTAACTTCTGAGTACAGACCCTATGTACCCAAACTTTTTATAGTCTCGCTGGCCTTTAACTCATGCAGGCTGGGAATTCTAGGAGTTAAAGTCCACACATTTTCAAGCTGTCAAGGTTGAGAAACACTGCTCTATAGTCTGCCCAAATTACATTGTTAAAGTGCAGAAGCATATGTAGTACTGTCCTTCAGAAATTGTATTTCTGTGGACAGTACTACACTGGCATTGTAGTTAGCTGTGTACAAGATAACTGTGCATCTTCCTTTATCAGCTGGCAAGTTCACACAGAAAGATGTTAAAGAAAACAGTCTGGCTTTTCTAGACTGTGCAGTGCACGTTAAGGAAGACAGAAGCCTTAATATTGAAATTTACAGAAAGCCCCCCCCCCCACAGATCAGTATTCACATTTTGATTCTTACAACCCACTGGAGCACAAAATGGGAGTGATCAAAACCCTACACCCCTGGACTGAAATTTGCCAACCAGTAAAGAAGGAAAAGAAAAATAACTAAAACATGTCAAGGAATCCCTCAGAACTTGTGGTTATCCTAAATGGGCCTTCATCAAATCCAGAAAAAGTTCTGGCAGGAGCTCCTCCATTATAGACAAAGAAGAGAACAATAAACGTGGCAACACTGTCATTCTAAACATTGCAGGAATATTTGAAAAGCTCAGGAGAATTTTTCAACCAACACAACATACATGTATACTTCAAACCCAAGAATATAGTAAAACATAAGCTTGTCCACCCCAAGGATAAAACACCCAGACAAGAACTGAGCAATGTTATATGTGCAATACAATGCAGTGAGACATGTGCAGATCTGTACATTGGTGAAACAAGAACATGGCACAACCTAGGAGATGAAACCCATCAGGACAAGATTCAGCTGTCCATCTGCGTTTGAAAGACAAAGGTCACTCTTTTGAAGATAACAAAGTCCACATTTTGGTTTGAAAGATGAGTAAAAGGTCATTTATGTTAACACTGAGCAGCCCTCTTTCAACCAAGGGAGAGAGGTAAGACCCCACCTCTCTCCAGTCTACAACACAGCTCTTGCAATAATGGCAAGAAGATTCCACAACCAATTGCACCCTGAGGGGAAACCCTCAAGTGGTATCAAGAGGTCTCACAGAGAGTGCTAATGGATCAGATGACTGCAAAGAAATACAATCCTTCCATCCCCTCTCCACCATCCATTCAGAATCTATCCTCCATCCCTTCCACTATCACCAGCATCACAACTGTTCTTCCTCAAGGAAAAGTTGTCTTTTGAAAAAAGCACTTTTGAGATGACAACAATGATATAATTTTCAGGTTTGCGCCTATCAACTTAAAATGAAGTTAGATTGTTGGGGTTCTTGTAAGGCCTGTTTCAAAATAAAGTCATGGTCTTATGGAACAGGAAGGGGTGTCTTTTAGAGCCATCTGTACTCAATAAAGTGTAGCTCTCCTAGTGCACCCTTATAGAAACATGTAAAAATCAAGCTACAATGGCTTAAGGATGAATCAGTGAGGAGTAACCAGTTTTGGAATGTTTTTTTTCCCCTGATCAGCATTTTGTGTTATTATGTATTGTTACTATATTGTTTTATCAGGTTGGATATTGTACATCACTTACAATCACAGTCAGCTGAAGTGATAAATAAAACCAGTAAATAAACAAACTTCTTGAGGGGTTTTTTTCTTTGACAGTCCAGTATTATTTTCAAATATAAGAACACTTAGAGCAGAAATGTCAAACTTGCGACGTCACATGACATCGCACAACGTATTGGAGCTTTTTCGTCATTGCCAGCAATTGAGTGGGCGTGATTTCCCGATGACGCGTCTAGTCCGCAGGCTGGCAGTTTGACACCCCTGACTTAGAAAAACTAATTAGCAAGGCATTCTACAGACTAGTTTTAGCCAGAGGAGCATAACTTACTTCATAATATTAGGAACAAAAAATGGATGAGGGGATATGTATTCATATGATATGGTCAAATTAATCTTCCATATTAATATTAGATTGTTAATACAAAAATCATTACAAGTTAAGGAGATGGATATGTTTTTCAATTACATGCTCAACATTTCAAACTCATTTCTATGAAGAAATCTAACTTTATCAAATCTGA